CAAAAGGGTGCCAGTGCAGACGATAACCCACTGACCGATTTGCCGAAATCCCACAGCCTTGCGGGGTCTGTAAGTACTAATAAGTTTTGAATTTCAATTTCAGAATTTGTTTATAAACGCAAAAATATCAAATCTTTATTTTATAAAATTATGTCTGTTATCTTAACATTTGCTATTTTTTTTAGTTCAGGCGCTTACGGTATGCCTGGAACCCAATTTTTTATTTTTTTATTGATAATACTTTTTATTACCTAATAATATACAACAAGATTACATCTATGTTAGATGCAAGATTTATTTTATAAAAAGTTTACCGACGTATCGGATGTCGGTGAATCGGACGTTTTCGACATATCTTTTAGTCATACTTAGCTAAGTTATGTGCTTGGTAATGTTTATAAAGATTAGATTAATCAAAAACGTTAATATAGGCAGTCCGCCTGATAAGTTAATTATAATTTCCGTCCTATAACTCTAAATAGCTAGGAAAGAGATATATTAATAATAGAAAATGTGAAGTCCTACATAAAGAAGTCTTCAATAAGAACAGATGGCCAAATTATAACTAAAAATATTATACAATTAAGGGCTGATTTCACCAATGTCGTAGTTATCCGAGAATAGCTATACCAAGGATAAACATATTCGCTTGAATTTAATCCCAGATAACTCACTTTACATTTCACCATGTAAAACATCCGATAAACTAGTCTCAGATTAGCTATTCTTTGGAATAGCCGTTTTGCTTATCTGTGGAAGTGTATATTGAGTGAACGAACGAATGAGTGTATAATGAAAACAAATTAAATGTGCAATTTCTTTAAAGAACATGAAGGTTAAATGGAACTTTTTACTTTAGTTGGATTATACGTCAGTTTGAAGCTGTCATGGAACCTACTTTGTAATCTAGAATTAGATTTAAGTATATTGTTATGTTATATTACAGACTTAACTTTAATAAAATTGTAGTTAATAAAACAAATATAAATGAAAAAGTTGTTTCTTTATTGTTTAGTTTTATCTTAAAATAATAAACTACATAAGATTTCTAAAAAATATAATAATAATTAATTAATAAATAATAAATAATAATTAATATTAATTAATTATTTTTAATTTCCTATCAAATATTTGATGCAAATTGTTGTTTATTTTACAGAAACTTACCTCTCAGATATGAATTCTAAACGGTTTTCAATTTTCACCAATAAATTATATGTTGCGACCTTGGATAACCGAAATCTTATCCTGAAGTCTTCATCGTCGTAGTTGTTGAAATGATCATTTCTTTCTTTTATCCATCTTGGACGCCTTACAGCATAGTTTTCGTTTTCGCTATCATCATCACTGTCACTTTCGTAAATAATTCTTCTTAAACGTTGCATTATCTATAGTTGTGATAATTAGATCAAGGAAAGAAAACAGGAACAACTCTGAGGGAACAACCACAACAAACTCGGGATCAAACAAAATGTCTGTGTTCTATGAATCCTGACAGCTGACATGACATGGCGGCCATTTTTAACCAAGGAATATCTCCGTATTCGTTCAAAATTGGGCGTATAAATCTTATCCTTGGAATAACGTTTTATTCTCAGGTTAAGTAGTTGGTGAAATGTAAAATTTGCTATTCCAGGGTTAATTCCTTGGAATAAAACTTATCTGAGTTTGGTGAAATTAGCCCTTAGTCATTCTTATAAAATTAACAGACAACCATCTATTAATCTTTTCTAAATATATTTTTAAATTATCATCGAAATCAATCGAAAAACTATTAAGCTGGAAGAGTAAGCGGGGAATGGTAGCTTGTTGACGCTGCACAATGCGAGTCGAATACACAGAAAAAAGGTTTGGCAGCGGTGATAATTGTCTGGAACGTTCAGTCTCAATCTCTCCCAGCAAGTATTCCTTTCTGTTTCGTTATTAATAATGCATAAACCAAATATGAATCATACCCTTAAACCCCCATCTAGAACTAAGTAGGGTAGAGGTAAGGAATGAAGTTGTACCTTCTTTTATATAAGGAACTTCTTTTGCACCCTTTCAATCTAATGATTGAAAGGTAACAATCATTAGATTGAAAGGGTACAAAAGGGTAGGGTAATACTATAATACTTAATACCTTACCCTATAATACTTTTCATGAGGCAACCATATGACGCAGCTGGTTTCGAGAATTGATCTTACTAATATAGTATGCAATACATTTTATCAAGAACTAGCTATTGCCTGAGCTGTGTTCTTTCGCGTACAGACAGAAAGAAGTGACGATAAACTTTTATCTCAAAACTCAAACTCAAAATATCTTTATTCAAGTGGCTAACCAAGTACACTTATGAATTGTCAAGTTAAATTAATTGTAAATTTACATTTACTACCAGTTCGCAAGTCAAGGGCGTAGAGCGGGTAAGAAGAACTGGCAAGAAACTTTCCGCCACTCTTTTTAATCGCCAAGTATTGTCATACAAATTGTTTGAACCGGAGCAAATCAATCCCAAGGATAAGGATCATTTAAGTATTCCTCAAATTTATAAAACGCTTTATTGATTAATTTCCGTTGAACGAGTGCTTTGAATTTATTTAGTGATAATACTTTAATTTCGCTTGGGAGTTTGTTGTAAAAACGAATACAATTTCCATATAAGGAGTGGTTTATCTTTTGGAGCCTGGTTGGTCGTACACTCAAATAAACGAATGAATGTCAAAAAATATTAAACATCTCAAAATTTACATTTTGCGCGCTTAACTAGCCGGAAACTCTCAGCCACTCGTTTTATTCGCACTTTATTTGTTTACTATGTAAAGTCAAGCTTGGAACCTTACTTTGGAGATCGAGAACAATGTTGGCCTAGTGGCTAGGCATGCAACTTTGCATTCGTGATAATAATATCAATAATATCTTCCTGGCAATATGATCATAAAACGCAAAAAAAGATGGAGAAATGTAAGGCCGCGACAAAAGGTTGCGGCGCTACTGTCGTTTTAAAACAGCAAAACTTACTATTCAAGCAAGAATTCGTCAAATAATGCTTCATATAAAAAGATTTTAGTATATTATAAATTCCTATTATAGTAGTGCATTGGTGCACAGCCGGGGATCAAACCTACGACCTGAGATGAGAGTCGCACGCTGAAGCCACTAGGCCAACACTAAATAAATAAAAAGATTCTAGTATATTATAAATTCCTATAGTAGTAACAAAAAATGTCATTTGTAATCTATGTCAATATTAACCAGATAAATAAAATCCTCAATATATTATGATAATTAGTGTCTGAAGGTTAGAAAAAATACGTTGACCTTTCACCTTCCTATATAGTGTTAATATTTAGATATCTCATATATGTTTGAGCAATTAAATATTTGGTCGCCGTAACATTTGCGTCATACTTATTACTAATGATGATCCTATTTTGCTATTTATATAACCTAGACTAGTGGTTAAGCGCACAGGTCTCAACCTGGGTAAGGTTAAATCGATTTTGTAATAATAATAATAATTTATTTATTGCAAGAATGTGGTACAAAAATGTGTAAGGTGGTACAATCGTAAGTTCGCATATTCTGCCTCACATAATGGCGCGCAAATTTGTCTTTAAAGGAATTTTAAATTTTACATTATTAGTCAAATTAATTCGTCAATTCTTATATTATTTGTATCGTACATATAATATCATACTATTAAATTTATATCACGCAAATAATCATTTATTGAATAGTAAATTTTTTCCAAAAGTAATACTCCAAATCGCTTTTTAAAGACTAGTCGGAAGATCTTTTAATTATTTTGGTTTTGGTTTGTATGGAGATCGTAGCGTAGCTCCTGAATGGGCGTTTAGTTATGAGGCTCTATATTGTGCATGGGCATGTGTTTTTGGTTTGCGCTTCTAATTATTTACTAAAATATATATAATATTTATCTAGCTTAACTAATGTAATGTGACATAACTCATATCTTAGATAAAAAAATTGAGTGAGGTACAGACGAATGACCAGTTCTTGTCTATAAGAATTCAGGAGGCCCAAATCAAAGATTACTGCGCTATATGAAATATCAAATCTATATAGAATTTATTAAAGATAGGTCCGAAAGTACTGTGCTAATTAAACGTGTTTATATAATAGATATATATAGTCAAAGGTAAAAAAAAATTTAGGTACATATCTAAGGGTCTGTTTCACAATGTATGGATAAAGTACCAAATAGCTATGCAACACATAAATTATTTGGAAGATTAAGGGTCTGTTTCACAATGTACGGATAAGTTGTACATAAGTTCCAAATTAGCTATTTATTACTTATTGGTAGGATAAACATTATTGTTGCGTTTCACGACTGTTAGATAGCGCTATTCGTCACATAAAATTTATCATAAGTTATGAGTCCGATGAAGTGTCAAATAGCAAGTGTTTATCCTGCCGATAAGTAATAAATAGCTAATTTGGAACATATGTAGAACTTATCCGTACATTCTGAAACAGACCCTTAATGTCTTAAGCCTTGTATCTTCCTTGTTTTTTATAGCTACTAGTTTGTCATTCTCCTAATTTATAAATTTTGTGCTGTCATGTTTTACTTTGTATTATATTTTTTATCATTGAATCTTTTTATCGATGTGTTTATTTTATGTTTTACTTTTATTTTATTTTTACTGAATACAGATGTATCTGTTTAGTTTCCTTAATAAATAAATAAATAAACACGTGAACTTAATGCGATTTCTTCATTCCTGATCACGTCACGTGACACTCCACGTCTTTGTCAAAGCTTATCGCCTGAAGTGTTTGTATTAAATAGATCTCACTACACGTTATAGCAGTTCTCAAAAGATGGTTTACGACTGGCGTATTACTCAGAATGTCACAACTTTCAGATATAAAGTAATAATCAAACAAATATTTAGACAATTCAACGTATAATTCCTATTCAAATGTAAATCAACAGTAAAAATGTACAAAATATGGCAGTAGGCAGGGTTATACCGATTTATCAGTTAGCTTATCTCCTTGATACTGCTTTAGGGATGGACTCTCCTTCAGGGTGGAATCCGAACTCGTCAGCGGTGTAGGTGATGGTCTCTGGCTTGCCCTCTTGGTTGATGTAAGAGTAGGTTCCACGGACTATGACGACTTGGTGAGGTTTGTTTTCCTCATCAAGAACCTCCTTCAATGAACCGGTCTCAGAACGGGAGGAGCCATCGGAAGTTTCGAAGCTGGAAATGTCAAAATTTTTGAGTTATGACTATCAAATCTTTTTATTACTTATATTAGTGAATGTTTATCACTAAACAACACGAAAATTTAAAGTATCAACTTTCAAATGCTTTTCAACTCCTTTGTATCCGTTAAATTAATGTGTAATATTAAAAAAAAATAGCAAACATAACCGAATTAAATGTCACAATTTGATATATTGATAATTTTATAATTAAATCCATTACAAAGAATTGTTCAAGTACCTACTACGTGAATAAAATGTGTTTATTCACGTAGTACTTGTACAAAATCTACATCAATGGACTGATTTTAATGAATTTTTATATTCCTTTTCTATTTTTCATTTAACTTTGGTAAGAATAATAGAAAATTCTTTACCCGAAGTTGTATCCACCTTCGGGATCAGTTTGGAAATCAGAGCGAAGGATCTGTACTTGTTCGTTTGGCACTGGAACAACGGCGGCGGCGGCGACGGCCACGAAGGCAAGGGCGACAATGATCTGAAAAAAAATATGATTAAAATAAATCAAAATCGCAGTAGTAAATATATTAGTCAATAATATTCGCTACCTACCAATTTCATGGTTAATTGATTTGGTTTCGTAGCTGATGAGCGACTGATGCCGAAACGATCGGAGCAAAATCTTTTATACATTTCTCCCAGGTACATCTTGTAACGTAACGTCAACGGCGCATCTCCCTGGACCGCTGCGTCCGTGTGCGCACGCGTATGTGTGCGCGTCTACGTGTGTGGGTACGTGGTTTAGTTTGCATGTGTGACAATCACTCAGTGATTTGAACTTTGAATTCGAAGGCTTTTATTTATGATTGTTTACTTTACAATTCGTTACCAAATTTGTCATCTATTGGGCGTCGATTGGTCAAGGTAATCTTTTCCTCTTCGGACATTTTTATATTTATTGTGATTTAAGCGAGGAAACCCTGCCACAGGGACCAAACTTTTTAAATTTGTTTTGATTTTGATTTTAATTATTTTTAATTATTTCTATTATTACTTTGTAGGTTAAGAAAATTGTAAATACTGTATACTTTCTTGTAAAAAAACAATATTTATTTGTTTGCAGTAATAAAATAAAACAATATTAATTTTTTTCTTTAATAAATATATTAATTTATGTCTCAAAAAAAAAAATTATCTGCTTAGATAAGATAATAAATAATCTAAGCAGATAAAAATAAAACAGATGGCGTTTCGCTTTCATAATGGTAGGCTGAGTTAGATGTATTAAGTATATGCTAAAATACATATGTATATTATATGAGTTTTACATATGTATATTTGTATCTAATTCTGTTTTTTTCTATTCTTAGAATTATTTATTCACATTTTTATCATACCACCTATATCTATAAGAAATCTCTTTATTTAATTGACTATAATTACGTATAAAAAACGTATTCAAAGACATAAATAAAAGAGTAAGTAATTAAAATATCAATTCACAATTTTTTATTTTAACAAGACGCTACCTGTTCAGCAAATACAAGTTTTATAGGTCATATTCAGGTACCATCCTTAGTGACCTGGTGTATGATACTAATAATTGTTTATCGTCTCGATTCGATTATTTAGTATAAAAAGAATTCTTGAATCTTTTACTAACATGATTATTTGTGGATAAAGTTTTTTATTATCATAGACAGTAAACTGTTTAGACAAATTATCGGTATTATCTACTCTTAAATTTGTCAACGCTACGTTATAATACCTTTTTTTTTAACTTTTTGGCAACAGCATTATAATACCTTTATACTTGACAACTTCGAGGACTTAAATACTTTATAAAAAAATTGACCAAGTGACCAATTCAAAATCTTTGTACTTGAAAAATACCTATTTGAGTGTCAGGTATGGACTTCAAAAATGGGCAATGAAAATGTTTTTCTTTTTTAATAAAAAAATCTCATGTGTAAGACATGCAAATTTTTATAAGAATAAATTCTTTTAACCTAAAATTAGATCTAATTAAGTATTTGTGAAAGAAATACTTAATTAGAATTCTCTTTCAATTGAATCACGAGTCACTTATAAACCATAAGCTACTTGAAAAAACCAGCAGTAACTATAGACAAATACATTGATCCATAAACAATCGAATAAATCAATTTTTCCGACTGGTAATAGTAAAAAAATAATATTGTCATTGTGTTAAAACTTTATCAAGTTATTTCATAATAATTAAATCTATAAGTACCTACATATATCTAACTACATGTTTTTAACTAATTAAGCAAATCTAGTTGGAAATTATTATTTCATTAAAACAAATCTATTTACTTACATAATAAAAAAGGAAATTCTATACCTAGCATTCATATTTAGATTATATCCGGGTAATTTTTTGAATTTCTTCGTTCAATTGAGTACAACATTACTGGACTTATAAGCTTTTCATTTTGTAAATGCATTATCAAACTATATTTTCGTTTAAAATGCGTTTCACACAAGTAAAACGACACGAAAAAACATTAATAATTCTTCTAAAAACTCTGCCTATACTTAGCAGGGTCAAGTTTTACGTAATGTATGCACACGAATGCTATCACCAACTTAACTTCTGACATTTACCAAAACATATTTTCGTCACATACCTACTTATAACTTGTCAATCCTAATAATTTTATTAGCGCCCGCGACTCGAATCAATGTTTCTTCTATCAAAATTGTCATTTATTAGTTTATTTCTTTGAAATGGACACGTTAACATAATAGCTGCGTAAAATATGCTAAAAATCTATTGATTAAGAGAAAAATTATAGACTGCTTTTTATCTATCCTTAGATATTTTTGTATAGAATGGAAATAGATACCTACTTAATTCTGTTTCAATTCGGGATATTCATCTTATTTCATAAATTTAATCTTATTTTTCCCTAGGGATACCTAAAGAATAAGAGCGATAATAAACTGAGTATTCTGGAGTGAGCTGGTGTTAGCGGCGAATGATGTCATTTGGTATATTAAGTAAAATCATCACATTATCATTCAACACCGAGTTTAAACTTAACAAGTCGTTGTAGTTAGAACATAATTAATGGGCCCACATAACATTAGAGTTAATTATTATTAAAAAACTTCTAGACAAATCCATTCCGTATGCTTAAATAATCATGATATTTTGTGTTCAAAAATATATTTTTACATACCACAGTTATCGCTAGAATCAATATAGGAAAGGTCAAACGTCAAGAAATCGTTAAATTAAAGGTACGCTATAATTATCTGCATAATTTAAGATTTTAGAAAAACTTGTTCAGAAACAAATAAAAGTAATATCCGCAGAGGTCGTCTTTCGTGAAATTATTCAAGGTTGGTATACCTGGGTTTTGCCTATTAAGGATATTACGAATCAAAGCAATATTTTATATTAGTTTCATCAGATCATCAATAAACTTTCATGGAATTCTATTCTATGTAGATTTTGTCCCATATTCCTATTGATATCTCGATTTCATTCGAGGTACATACCGAGGTTATGCTATGCTACCGGACGATATATCACTTTCATTTAGATACGCAACGATGGTGGCTAGACAGTAGACTTAAAAATCAATACAGCGACGCAGAAAAGTTTCCATACTTTGCATTATAAAGCTTTGTGCAGCCAACGTACTTGACGTATCACCTAGAGGTGCGGGGCACCGGGTTAAAATTATGGTTAGACGGTAAAACATAGCCAATTATTATAGAAATGTGTCTGGTCCACAACTTTACGATTACATATTTATCTAAGGCATTGTCTATGCTATTCTGTTGAATACTTATCATACATACTTTAAATATTAAGGAAAATGAACTTACAACTCTCTCTGACTTTTAATTTCAGTCAAGATTGTCATTTCTCGAATAATATTTTATGTCTGAAAATGAAACATTATGAGTACTTCTTTTTTATGGGACAGGAGGCTAACATACAGGCGGCTTTGTATGATTTGGTAACTGCCGCCCATAGACACCTGTATGGTGATTGGTACTTTAGCTTTCGCGCTTTCTTGAAGGCCCTTATCGTATCGGTTTGACACCTTCTGGCAGTTCCACAAAGAGGTGGAGCGCGTGTTGTGGAACGTCAGGTGTCGATGGAAAGTATGGAATAGCATTTTGCGTCGACGTCGATAGAATTCAGCTGCAGATATTAGTCCGAACATTTGGTTAGAGCACCCCATTATAAATGCGGAAGAAGATGCTGAGGGCAAACATCTCTACACCAAGCCAAATAAGGATCAAGCTTATTGTTCAGGACTATATTATAATAAATATTTATAAAAGTCAGTCGCAGGCAGTTGCAGGATTTATGATAGATAGTTAGATGTTATGGACCGAATATGAATTCAAATTGGAGTGATCTCCAATACGATTTATGCTAATTACTTCATGTTCACAGCTTTAAGGGAACCTATAACACATAATTCATTTTCACCCGTGGGACATGCAGTTAAACACATTTGTGTCTTTATAACCGATGAAATAATAATTATTAAAGGTCACAAGGATGTGATATTTAACCAGTTTTATCCGCCAATATCGTGATCAAATCTTTAATTTAATTATTCCAAGACGTCCACATTATTATAACTAATTCATAATTAATAAAGTAACGCTTGCAACAGATGTAGTCTCAATAAACCCTTTTAATAAAACCCACATGACTCTACACTACTTAGTCTTCTTAAGAGTCTCAGAATAAAAAATCAATGGTTTTTTGACATACGAGGTTATCATTTTACAGTGACGTTATGGGTTACAACAATGCTGAGAAAAGCTGAGGGTAGAACAGTATGGAGGCAGCAAGTCATAGGTAGGGGCATTACAAGAGCAGCACCATCAGTAATGTGTAAACTAGTTTTAAGCTTTTCGTCGAATTATGTTACTTGTGGCGGTCTCATAAGGTTTTTTTGGCCTAGGTCACCTGCTATTGGTGTATAGCACAGATTTAAACTCAAAATATCTTTATTAGGTAAACAAGTACACTTATGAGTTGTCAGAAAGAAGTTAAATTAATTGTAAATTTACATTTACTACCAGTTCGCAAGTCAAGGGCGTAAAGCGGGTAAGAAGAACTGGCAAGCTTTCCGCCACTCTTTTTAATCGCCAAGTATTGGTCATACAAATTGTTTGAACTGAAGCAAATCAATCCCAAGGATTAGGATCATTTAAGTATTCCTCAAATTTATAAAAAGCTTTATGGATTAATTTTCGCTTGGGAGTTTGTTGTAAAAACGAATACAATTTCCATATAAAGAGTGGTTTATCTTTTGGAGCCTGGTTGGTCGTACACTCAAATTAGTTCTTTTTCGCGTATTATACTAGTGAAAGTCACCATTTGCTATAAAATTGTTAATATTTTTTTGGACATACAACAAGGCTTCAAGAATATAAGAATACATCTAAGGTAATACTGGTCCGCTGTGATTATAAAAAACCTGCAGTCCCGCAATTTTAAAATCTATGCGAATCTATGTAAACGCGTTAAAAATTACTCATTAAATTAATAATCATTAATTTAAAATGGTATTTATTTTAACTCAAGAATTACGGAGATTAGCGCAGTTTTATGGTATTATCGTGACAATGAATAAATGTATTTTTAATTTTGTTTTTTAAACACTTCTATGAAGATTCTGATAATGAGAAATGTCTCCATCTAAATA